GACAAAATCTGACAAATGAAAACATTTTCCACTAAAACCTACGATCCACTGTAGTAATTTTTGGTGAGCAAGTGTTGCTACCCAGGAAACAAAAACCTATTCACTCGTTTTGAATAGGTCGAAAGCTCTTGTGAATCCGCATTCTTAAAAGGCGAAGGCAGATTAATACTGATTATTTTTATTATTCATTGAATCGGAAATCAGAAATTTGAATGGGAATATAAAATTTTTTGCTGCCGATTCATAAAGTGTTATGAATCGGAAATAAACGATTAAGGAACATTTTTCTATGGTGCCGTTGAATAAGAAATTTACTATTGAAATAAAGTTATTTATAAATAAATATTATTTAACACAAAATCTATTATGAAGTCAAATTAATTTTTGAAACAAACGTTTTATTAAATTGTTTAATAAACAAGAACAGTTTCGTACACGTCGTTTTGATAACAAATATACTTTTCAAAATAAACAAAAGTTTCGTACACATCCTTTTGATAATAAATATTATGCATTTTTTAAAAAAAACAATAAAAGCTTCGCACACATTCTTTTAATAACAAATATTATGCATTTTTTTAAAAAAATATAAAAGATAAAATTTGTAAACTTCAGTGAAACTGAAGATTTAAATTTTTGAACGTTCAAATGCATTACTTTTTAGATATTTTTCAAAATCTCTATAAAATAATAATAGAAAAAATAAACTGAAATTTCCTGAATTAACAATTAGTTTTATAATTTAAAAAAAATATTTTGTGATCAAATTTAAACTAAAAGTTGTAAAAAAATACTTGATTCACTTGAATGTTCAAAATTTTAGATGCACTAAAACTAAATTTTTAAAACTTTTCAAAATTTCATTTGAAAATTGACCTACTTTATTTTTCAAGTTTCTGGCGTTTTACAGTGATTGTAATGTCGTTGTTGTTGTTCTCGTTTAAAAGTAATCCATTTTTTTCGCAGAAAAATTTTGAAAAAAATTTTTTTTTCTACGAAAGTTGAATTTGTTTAATCATCTACCATTTCATTTTTTTTTACTATTTCTCGAACTTCCTCAAAATTTACTTCATCCATTAATTTTTTCGCTTTTTCTGCATCATTGAGCTCTTCAAAATCGAATTCTATTTCTTCTGATCCTTTAGGATCAACACTTGCTTCTCCTTCATCGATTACTCCTTCATCGATTACTCCTTCATCGATTTCTCCATCATCGATTTCTCCTTCATCATTTTCCCCTTCACTATTTTCTCCTTCATCATTCTCTTCTTTATCGTTACCGTCAGTTTTGATAACATTTTCAGTATCGAAATCGTTTAATTCATGATCAGAGAATTCTGTTTCTTCGATTTCTATTTTCTCTGAATTTTCAGTATTTGTAGCCATCGCATCTTGATCGGGATCCTCAAGTTCTCGACTTGTTGCAGTTTGTTGTTTTTGAATTGATAGTTTCTTAGGTATTTTCTTATTTTGTTTTTTCAAATCTGAAATTTTACTACCGATATAGCTGCGTACTCTGTCCAATTCAACGTCAACAACTTCTTCACGCAATCCAAGAACGTCTTTTAAATAATATTTAAAAATGTCTGAAATAATTGACAAAATAATTTTATTAAATCTATCGACATTGAAATTATTATTATTTAATTGAGAATAGAAATTACAATACCTTTCAAACACAAAACTTTTATCCCATCCAATTTATGTTGAGGATTATTTTTTCTTTTATTTCGATTGCTGCCATACCCGGACAGAGTGGCATTTAATAAAGTGGTATATCCAAATAATGCAACTGCTAAATTTTTGGCCACCTGGGCAGTAGTTTTTACGTTGTCTGTGCTGAATTTAAAATTGTCAAATCCCATCCATTGATCTCTTCCAATGTATATCTGAAAGTAGAAGTTATATTAAAATCAGAAGTATAATCTTTTATAGAAATATATTTCTGAAAAAATATGTATCTTAAAACAAATGATTCAAATAATTTTTAACAAAAGTAGTAATTTTGATAAATATTGTAAGCAAAACGTTAAAATTTATTACTTAGAATATCTGGAGAATTTAATATGTGATTTATTGAATATTCTTCTTTAATAATTAGTTTAAAAATATATTTTTTAAATTTGAATTTTTTTAAACGCATCACGTACACTACAAAAATGTAAATATTCCTATAATCTTTTTTTGTGCATTGATGCTCAACATTACAAAATTTTTTATTCAATTTTGGTATTTTTTCTTATTTATTCGAATTTCCAAATGGCGCAATTAATATTTATTTAATATTTAATATAATATTTTTATAATACTTATGCTATGCTAATATAAATATCATAAGGCATCGACTGCCAACAATGTTCGACAAAGAAAACTTTCATAAACTGTATAAGAATAGACGACTTTACCAATTTTCCAGTTTCATCTAGGTCTCCGACCTTCAAATGTGACTTTTCAAGTTCCTTTGCTTCTTTATCCTTCGACGCTTCATTTAACATGTCTAAAAACAAATTTTATTAATAAGCTTTAACAATAATTTGTAAATTAATTAAATTAATATATTGTCGAATTTAAATAAATTTTTTAGATGGAAAAAAGTACACAATTAAATTCTGCATAGTGAAACTAAACACATTTGCGATATTTAAAACTTTTTCGAATTCTATAGAAAACTTCGCAAAGGTGTTGAGTTTCATTCTGTAGAATTATTTTTTTTTCATTTTAAAAAATTTATTTAAATTTAACAATATATTTGTTTACAGTTATCTAGTGTTCAATTTAAAGGCGTAGAATTAACAATTTAATTATGACAATCCAAAAAATATTTTTCATAACGCGGTGCTAAAAAGGGCACTTTTTTGCACCTTGTTATGAAAAATATCGTTCGTAACTAGTGCGAGCAGTTGCCAATTAAATATACTATTCTTGTGTGTAGAATTTGTTTGTGGAAATTTTACGGTGTAGTATTTAACAGCGTAGAATAAAGAAATAATTGAAATTAAATTTCACCGAATTTCAATGTTTAAAATTTTTTGTGTAGCAACCTCATCAACTTAGAATATAATTTAATATGGTATATTTCTCAAAATTTAAAAACAAATTTTAGTAAAAAATGTAAGACACTGTATAAATAAGAGTTACTGCAATATGTTTTTACCTTGCAACTTTTTTATATCAGGTAGCACTGTTTCTTGATACTCTTGGTTTAGCCTTCTTAAAACTTCCAGCTCTTTGTCTCTTTTCACAATCATATCTTCCATGAGATTTAACATTTGTCTTCTTTCCTCCAACTCACTTTTTGTCAACTGCAATTCTTTTTCTCGTTCTAATAATTGAGTTGGCATTTCTTCCAATTGTTTTGATAAAACCGAAACTTTGCTTTTCATTAATTGCATTTTATTTGCACAAGAATGATTGTTCTGAAACAATTTGTATAATATTTAATTCGGTCTTCTTCAAAGTATTAAATATTTTAAATTAAGCACAAATTAGATATAAAAAACAATTTTTTAACTTCTGTAATTTTTAAACGTATAAATATAAACATTCTGCATGCAGAGTATATAAATTGGCTATTTTGTATTATGAAAATTTTCATCTTATAAATAGAAAACTAATAAAAATTTCCATAAATAAGTAAAATGTTTAAGAAATTTTTCAATTTAAAGAATATTTTACAGATTACACTCACACATTCTGAATTTGCAGAAGTGCCAAAAGTAGCACGAGGAAGATTTGTAGGCTTTGGTAATCCTGAATTCGATTGCGGTAAGCTTTCGTTAAAGGATTTTCCGGAAGGCTTCTTAAAAATAGATTCCTCCTTTTCTTGATTTTCCTTTAATAAAAACGAACCGTTATAATTTTTTAGAACAAAGGTTCAATTTTGCGAATAAAAAAAAAAAAAGTTCTCTGGTACAAAATTTTACGTAAGCCCACATTATTTTTAACACAAAAATTAGTTTTTTCATGAATAGTCACTACATAATATGACGACGCGAAAACGTGCTACGAGAGAGAAATTGTTCGAAACCGGCGAGCGTGTGTTCAACAATCGAAACATCGAGTATCGAAGCATCTACAGCAATGACGTACTTACTTACGAAGAGACCACTGCAATAGATTATTAATCACCACTTGTATTTAACTATTTTACGTAGTTATTATAAACAATAATCATAGAAATGAATGTAAAAACTGTTTTAAAGAAAAATCAATTTGTTATATTAAATGTTTTAGACTACAACATACTTTTAACAGGTAAGGGCCCTTAAGCAATTGCCCCAAGTATGGCTAACATGAATTCGTCACTGGTTCAACATAAAAGTAATAGTGCTATATTCATTGCAGTGTATAAACTTTGGAAACATCTGAAAAAGTCGTTTCAATTTGTGATCTTGTGAGATTTTATCCAAAATAATGTAAATAGCTAAAAAATTATCAACAAATATTAGTGTGTTGTCAAGCAGGTTTGTATATCATTATTCAAAAATATCTATCTGCACATGAATCTTTTTTTTGCACGTATTTCATATTCTTTTTATATATAGTAATTTTGAGGTTAGAAAGGAAAAAATGACAATAAACATTGCGCGAAAAATATCATAATATCAGTATTTGATCACTTTTTCTTGTTCATTTAAAAACACTATTATTATCTTTGATAAAGAATAAATATTCTGTCATAAGGTAAGTTATTTCAAACACAATGCCTATTACATGTTATTGATATTTAATTTTTTCATAAACGATTTATAATGATACTTTTTCCCAGAGAAATACGAATAAATAATTGATAAACATTGAGTTAAAATATTATTATCATTATTTTTATACTTTTTTTTTTTTTTGATTTTGAGATATATCTCAAAATCCGAATAGAAACATTTAATTCCTGTATATTATTTTATTATTCATATTTACAGTAAATTATAGTCTATTGTCTTGTCGATAAAATACATTCTTTTCAAATTTATATTGGTTATTTTTCTAGCAAAAACCAGACAATGGAAGACAATGGTGTAGAACCAAAACGATACAAACTATGTTTGGATCCAAACTACAGCAACCAAAATGTGTCACAGCAAACGCATAATATCTGGTCTAAAAGATGCAAAAATTGGAAACCATTGGGTATGTAATCGTGATCAGATGTCATGTCAGTTTATATTTTTAAATCGAGCAAACATTTTTTTGCGTTCCTTTGAGAAGAAAAAGTTATACGTATTTCTTTTATTCTTTTGGATCCAAATTTTCGAGTTGTGAATTTTCGAAAATTTAATTTTTTGAAAGTAGACATATTTTTAATGATCTATAACTCGAAAATTATTAATTTTGAAAAAATTCTGCCAGGAAAAAAGTTTGGTTTTTTTTTGAATTTTCAGTAAAGTAACAAAAAGAATATTTTTGAATTTTTATTTAAAAAGTCATAAATTTTTATAAACAAATTTATTTGCTATAATTTAAATGTTTTTTTTAAGTTTCTTTGCTTTATTTCTTAGCTGGGAATTATAAAAACATTTTCCATACAGTTTCAGAATGGGCCTGATAAAACTTATTATTTAAATAAATTGTTTATAAAAAAAAAATTTCCATTCTTTTTTTTTAATTATGCAAAACAAAAACTCTTTTTTATCATTATACATCTTCATTTCTCTCATAGAGAAGCAAAATAATATACTTTTTAATTAGAAAAATGAAAATTAAGAAGGTTTATAAAAAATTATGATCTTTTTAATAAAAATAAATACTTTTTAATGTGTAATCGCTCTTATGTATTTTAATTTTTTATTCATTTATACATTTCTCAATTTTGCAGATCAACAGCTAAGAAACAGCGGCGTAGCTATTTCACCAATTGCAAATTTGGAACCAGAAATAAAAGAACACCTTTCTGAATTCTCACAAGAGGAAAATGTGGTTAGTCTTGAACCACAAGAATTGGTAAACGAAAAGGAAGATACTGACGCCGATGGTGAGATAACTCTTTCAAAATTTGAAGAAGACAATATTAGGTTTGATGATTGCTCTCTATTAGAATTTGAAAGCAGTGATCAAGACGATGACTGTTCTGAAAATTCTGAATTTGTTGAAGCTGAAGACACCGGCAATGAAGAAATCCATGATACTGTCAATGAACCATTACTCATTGGAAACAGAGTAATGTTTCAACAATCAAATATGACAATAGAGGATGTTTTAGAAATGATCATGGGATTCTCAACGCGATATTCCATAAGTTTAGAAGGTCGTAGTAAATTATTTGACATGTTTAAAATTTGTGCAGGACCTGATTTCGACAATGTAAATGTTTCAAACTATATGATGTCTAAAGCTTTCGATCCACCAAAAGATATAATTAAAATCCATTATTATTGTGTTAATTGCGAAGAACTATTATTAGTAACTCAGAGGAGCAGTTTTGTTAAAGAAAATAAGAAAGAAGTTCTTTGCGACAAGTGTTCTCAACAGTATGAACTTACATTAAATTCTCCAAACAGTTTTCAAGTCTTAAATTTAAAGTATCAAATTGATCAGTTGCTTAAAAATCCAATTGTAGTAAAACACTTTGTCAACAAAATAAAAAACAGAACTACCGATAATGTTAGAGGAGAAAAATCTATTTCTGACGTTGATGACATTATACTATACCGCGAATTTGTAAAAAAGCATCCTAACGCTATAACTTTTACATTTTCCACGGATGGAGCAGCGGCTAAAAATCCTTTAAAGTGTAAGACAAAATTTTGGCCAATTCAATTATTATTTAATGAATTACCGATTTCTATGAGGTTCAAGTTTGTTCTATTGAATGCTGCAATGGTAGTTCAACAAGAGCCTAGTAGTAAATTATTAAATTTATTTCTAAAAAGTTTTATTGATCAAGCCTTAGAGTTAAGTGAAAGCGATATTCCTGTAATTCATGATGGCAAAACTTATCGATTAAAATTCATTCTTTTATTTTGCGCCCTTGATTCTGTAGCTCGAGCGTTGGTACAATGTAGAATACAGTATAATGGTTATTTCGGGTGTAGTTTTTGTTACATTCACGGATTTTATGCTTGTGGCGCGGTTAGATATCCATTTGAAGAAAAAATTTCTGAATTACGATCATCTGAATCTCATAAATGCGATTTGAAAACAGTGTCAGAATCCAGTTGCTTGATTCGATCTAGGGGAGTTAAAGGAGAATCCGTTCTATGCTCTTTAACCGATTTTGATATGATTTGGGGATTTTGTTTCGATTATCTTCACACTGCTCTCTTGGGTCCAGTTGAAGATATTACTCGTAGCTCTTTTTTTTCAAAAGAGATTATTAAAAAATTGGATTGAAGATTAACATCTGTACGCCCTAGTCACGAAGTGTATAAATTGCCGGAAAAATTGAGTAATAGATCAGTATGGAAGGGAACACATTGGAGATCGTGGATTTTATTTTACTGTCTACCAATGTGTATAGATTTGCAGCTGCCATCAAATGTTTTGGAGAATTTGGCTTTATTAGTAAAAGCAATGTACATGATTTTGAAACTTGGGGCAACTGAAACAGAACTTGACGAATGTGAAGAAATTCTTAAAAATTTTTTAGAAACTTATCAATCAATTTATGGAATTAAATCTATGAAATATAACGGTCATATGGTGAGACATGCTCCTCTTTGTTACAAAAAAGATGGACCCATTGCTTTGACATCGACTTTTATTTTTGAAAGTAATATGGGGTTTTTAAAAAATATTATCGTTGGAACGAAAAACGTAGGCTTTGAAATGACAATGAAATCCTTGAAATTTATGGCATACAAATGTAAGACTCGAAATTATTTATGTAAACCTGTTGTAAAAGCTTTTTGCGAAAGCTTATTTTCTGAAAAAAAGTATACATTGAGTGCACGCATTAAGAATGATGTAACATTCTTCGGCAAACCAATTATTTCAAATGACCCGAAAACAAAAGATGCTGAAATATATACTAAATGTATTTATCGAAAACAAACTTATCATAGTGTGACCTATCAACGCGGATCAAAATTTAATGACACTGTTATTCAGCTTGAATGTGGAACAATTGCTCAAATTTTAGAAATAATTGCTATGCCAAATGATGAGTGTTACTTTCTTGTTTGGAAATTGAAAAGTGAGCAAATGATTGTACAAAATATAGAAATACCACATATCTGGGAAGTCACAGGAATTGTAGAAAAATCTTTGATATCACTAAAATGTGTGTCCTCAAAAATGATTTGTTTACAATTTGAAAACAAAAACTATGCGTGTAGGCCTCCGAACATTATTGAAAGTAGTTAATTCATTCTATACATTAATTTTATCGATTTTTGGAAAACGTATTGTATAAAAAGTAAAAGAGTGTTTTTCTTTTACCTTTTTTCCAAAAATCAAAAAAATTAATTAATTTAATAATTGTGGAAGAATTTACTAAATATTTAATTAATTCGTTCTAGTTAATAATAATTTAATTTGCCATAAAATGATTTTTTGGTTTTTCGGATTTTAGTTTTAAGATTTGATTTGTATTTTCTTTTCTCTACTTATCTTCTTTTACTTTAATAAAGGGTAATTTTGTAAACGTGTTTATAAACAGGTTTAAATAAATATAAATAAAAATGTATGATTCACTAGAGGGATCATTTAATAATTTTTTTTACTAGGTTGTGTAATTATGTAAATAACGTGAATAAAAAAACCTAAAAGTATATCTGTATTATAATATCATACAAATGCAAATTTTCCCTAAATAAATAAAAAATTATGCATAAATAGAAATATTAACTTATTATTAGGTAATAAATATTTATTAATAATATAAATATTAAAAATTGTATAAATTATAATAATAAATTATAATTATTTTATAATAGTAATTTAAATTCACAAAATTTTTAAAAATATTAAATACTTCAAAAATAAACAATTGAATACTATACTTCTTATACTATAATTTTTAATAATTACGATTATTAAATTAATGTCAATATAAACATTTTCAATAATGAATTTTGCTTTTTTTGCCGAATCGGCATTAGCCTATTGCTTTTCTTTTTCTAACGCTTCCGATTCATTCCTTTTCATTTAAAATTAGATAAAAAGGCATTATATTATTTAAACAACGTAACCGATTCAAAAATATTTAACGCCATTCGCCCTGTATTACAACTTTCTTATTCAGGTTGATATTTTCATAGCACCTTTTCAAAACTAAATTTTACTCATTTGTTTGATTTTTATGTTAATCGGAAGTTGCTTATTGCTAAAATTTGAGGTTAGTTTCTCTTACTCAACCAATTTCAGTCTATAACTAACACATCTAATGAATAAGAAAACACAGATTCAAAAATGCCTGCTAAATTTTCCGATTCAAATTTTAAGAAACTGATTGAAAAATATTCGCGTGAATCCGCATTCTTAAAATGTCTGATTCACTAGAGCGCTCATTTAATAAGTTTTTTTTTCCTGGGTAGCGAGTGCAATCATATAGCGCCTGCATTTCTATTGGTTGACAACTTCGTCAATCTCCGTAAATGAGCCGATGCCATCCGATCATTGACAGTGACTATGTTTCGCGTATGTAAAATAAATTTGGATATTATCTACAATAATTAAATATAAAGTGAAACGTAGGTCGTTCGTTATCTCAGAAATTGACCATTATAAATTAATAAATTTTGCATTTATTCCTGTCCCAAGAACTATGTCTTATAATAAGTTGTTAAAAGTAAACTGCTTTCTCGTAAGTGCTATAAATTTTCATCATTTAATATATAAGGAAACAAAGATGTATGCTTTCAGTGAAATTCGTTGTCGTGCGTGCAGTTGTGTATCAGTGTATTAGTTAAGCGTCTATACATATAAGTGAAATAAACATGTGTGTGTCTTCAAATATTTATCCAACAAATATATAAGTGTGTGTGTGTGTGTGTCTGTGTATGTAAAAATGGTAAAAATCCTTCCAGTTTGTCTCCATTAGTCAAGAATTGACGGGAAACCGGCGATAAAAATCCCTATTTTTTCTTTCACTCTTTCTTTCTGCATTTACAACGACTATAGTAATTTTACGTACACAATACTTCTGAGTTTACTACAGTTGTTTGGAACTATTGGACGAAATAGTAAGAAACTTTGCTAATTTGGTGAACATTTGTCGGGATTAGTGACTTAGTGTAGAAAATAGTAAAAAATACAAAAAGTCCCCTTATTTCCGGTGGTTGCAATGTAAAATAGTAAATTCTAGTGTGATTTTATACCAAAATTAGTAATCTCGGTCTCTCCGTGTAATTTAAATATAACTGTATTTCAATTATAATGCAAATACTTCTCATAATAAGTACTGACTGGTATAGTAAATTATTAATATTATGAAACAAAATTTATTATTAATTAACTATATTAAATAATTACAAGTAAATATACATATATTAAATTAATATATTATAAATATACATTAAATAAATATATTAAATAATGTTGAAAGAATGGTCCGAATGTTTTGATTTATTTACCTACTTTTGCTGTATGATTAATTCAATAATTATACCAATTCGAAAAATGAGAACTTTTGTTAAGTTAAAAGAACAATTTTTATAATAGAATAATGTATTCTGAAATGTAAAAAATAAATTTGAAAGATTTTATATGTATATATAAATTTTCATGAGACTTTATCACCCCGGTCCGACTCCTGTACATTTGCTATCAAATCTTTCAGACCGTAATGCTAGGAGAGAAATGTTACTCTTTCTACCGCAGCGTGGCGCTGCACGCGGGTAGGCCTACATTTCGTTGCTCAACTGCTTTGTCTATATACTTTAAAGACTTTAAATTATGCGTTTTTATTGAAAGTTTTCGAGAGTTTTAAATTAAAAATATTGCTGGTGGTTTATTACTATTATTGTTTACCCGGTTAATGATTTGACAGTTATCTAGTTTTTAATTGAATCAGTTTAACTGATTCGTCGTTGACTGGAACGATGGGACAGAAGTGCATATTTCCGAAATGTAAATCGGGATATGCTTCTCAGAAAAGTGGAGAAAAAATTCACTTTTTTAAAGTGCCCAAAGATTCCGTGGAAGAATATCAGAAGACCGTGAGACGGGAAAACTTTCTGGTGAAAAGTGGACAACCTGTGTGTCACAAACATTATCTACCTGACGATATCTTATGGAAACGCGAGGTAAAAGATGCTGATGGAAACGTGATGTCCATGGTAAGAATAAAATGTCAAAAATATTTAAAAAGCCAGTTAATATCTGAAAAAATAGATGCAAAAATTGTAATTTAAAGTAAATAAGTTTAAAAATAATTATTAATGTAAAAGTAGATGAAATCTAAATTTTAATATTTATGTATTTTTTGTTAATTACAAAAATTTTAATATCTTTTTATTTCTTATTAATTTCAGGAGAATTATACATTTCCACGATTGAAGAAGGGTGTCGTACCAAGTCAGTTTCCAAATTGCCCAGCATATTTGTCGAAAACTCCAAAAAAACGCCCACCACCAAAGAAAAGAAAATTAGAATCCGATAAAAATAACAGAAAAAAAAAAGTTTCAAAATTGTCATCTGAAACGAATGAGATACATCCTGCAGATCCTAAATCTCCATTGCCTTCTTAACATGCTGATGAAAATCAAGAAGTTCTTAATGAGGAATCAGAACCTGCTGCCGAAGAAAATCCTATCATGGATTCTTTATCGAACGAAAGTGAAAGATTAAAAGTATTTGAAAATTTATTTTCAAATAGGGATTCATTTAAAATCCCTGTATCGTGGACACGATCTGACATCGATGATGGCATTTTCAAGGGAATCACTTTTGTTCAATGGACTGTACGTCAGAAGGAAAGAGAGGAAAATAAATTTATTACAGTCTCCTCAAAAAAGATAATTTTATATCCCGATATGACCGTCGACGTATATGTTATGGATAAAGAAATTGGTAAAGAAAAGATCGAATTGAAAAATGATTTTGTATCCTCCGCTGCAGAGTTAGAAAAAGCTGTCGAAATTTTCAACAGGTTTAAAATTTGCGAAGGATGTGCTTCTCCAAACACAATAGAAAATATTGAAAAAACTACACTTTTTCGAGATTCGTTGGGATTCTTACGTCACAAACAATGCAATTTATTGTTAAACTTGGAAGAAAATGGCAATAAAAAATATTGTTTGCCTTGCAAAAAAGCAAAAAATACAATTTCAAATAAAATTGTTCGTCTTAAAAGACAACAAGATTTACAAAGAATTGTTTTCAAAGGACAGCACATGGACAGAAAAAAAATGGGATTGGTAAACAAACAATTTAGAAATGTGTCACAAAGATTAAAATATAATAAAGATAAGAAAGATTTATTAATGAATCGAATAAGTAATTTAAAAATAAAAATGAATTCTATGAATCCACTTACTATTGAAGAAGAACTTAAGAAGAAAAACGTGTCTGCTAATGAAAAAATAGTAATTACCGAAATTTTAAAAGCGGCTAAATGCAAGAGTAGAAAGGGACATAAATATTCTGATGACTGGATTTTATTATGTCTGATATTCCACATGAAGTCCCCTACTACTTATAATCTTTTAAGGGAGACTCAAGTGTTACCATTTCCATGCAGGAGCACAATTAAAAAGTAATTATTTTATCATTATATGTCTTTTTTTATCTCTGAAACATAATTTATAAGTTTTCTTTATAATTTTAGGTATTTGGCATTGATAAAAACACCCTGTGGCTTTCATCAACCGATGTTTGATCTCTTAAAAGAAAAAATTAATTCAGAAACTGATGAGACGAAAAAACACTTTATTATCTCTATCGACGAAATTCACACAAGAAAAAATGTTACTTTGGACACCAAAAACATGGAATTAAGTGGGCTCGTTGACTTTGGCGATGGTTCAGCAGTTGATATATCAGACAAAGCTAATCACGGACTTGTTATTATGCTGCAGTCCCTTATGGGTAATTTCAATCAACCTATTGCTGTTTTTGCTTGCAAAGGCCCTGCTGGTGGAGTTTTACTGGCCAAATTAATCATTCAGGCCATTATTTTTCTTAAAAAAGCAAATGCAAAAATTCACGGCGTTGTAAGCGATGGTGCTACAACAAATAGAAAGTTTTAGACAGAATTAGGAGTTAGTGGAAAGTTGG